CTCTAAAGACTTAATTAATTCACTACAAAGGGACTGGGGGTTAAGGACAAGTTGGTGAACTGAAAATATGGGAAAAGAGTGGGGCCTTTAATTTTAAGCTGATAAATTGAGTGTGTGAGGGAGAGTGTGTTTTCCTGTTGGATTCAGTTGACTGAACACTTAAAAGAAAACTTGAAATGTGTAATATGAAAGATGCTTTGGCAAAAACAAGACTAGAGGTCCTGTTTTTCTGAAATAGGGTGAAGGCTCAGATCAAAGTCTAAGCTGGTACCGCATGGGCGTAATGTGGGTGTTTTGTAATCATCAGCATTGGCATAAACCTGGTGAATCTATCCTCCCATTTAAATGCAACAGCAGTTGGGAGGAAAGAAAGAAAGAAAATGAGGTGAGATAAAAGAGTTCAAATACAGAGTTGGACAGAAAATGTAGAAACCTGAGAGGAACACAAGTCAAGACATTTTATTATTTTCAAGATATGTTCTTTAAAAGATCTGCTTTTGCATAAAAACAGGCACCGAAGTTGCACTAATGCATATAAACAGCTGCAGCTACACCTCTGCACACACAATGCCTGATCTAGAAATCTGCAAAAAGATACAGGCACATTATATGTCTGTTTTATTGTACATAGTTTTAAAAAAAATGTACTTAAAATACAGCAGGAACACCATGATTTTAGTCTCATATTGTTTCTCAGCACTACACTTGCTGAGCTAATGTGAGAAAATAAAAGAAAATGATTGTTTTTACCTTTTTCAGGAAGGTGGTGATTATATTTGAGTTCAGACCGGTATCTTCCCTCTCCAGCTTTTTCCCAAACACTCATTGTAATTCTTCCTCTCAGTGCAGCGATGGATTTTTTGGAAGGAGATGCATCTTTGAAGCACTGCGTTTTGTAGTCGTGAGTTTGAAGTTGGTAAAATAACTACTCACTGCTTAATCAAAGCGCTGAAGACTTTTCTGTAATGCTCAGGTGTTCTGTGCTCACTGTGCTACCAGATGACTAAATGACACTTTAACCGAGATTGAACTGTGAATGGTGTCTTTGATGCCTCAATACCATATTTCTTTCCTATGCAAATAAGCAGAAGTCACACGTAATTCATAGCTTTATTACAGCTATATTAGATTTAATTAATCAATAAATATTATTGAATATAAAATTAATATCTTTGCATATGTTAATTTGAGTAATATATGCATATGCATATATACATATATATACATATATATATACACACATATATATATGTGTGTGTGTGATTCAAGAGAGAGAGACTTTGTTCTCAGGCTCCCTCAAGGTGTAAATGGAAAGTTTTGATGGAAAAAGCAGGTCATGTTGTTACTATACTAAGTTGACCAGTTCTCATTTATCATCTCACTATACTTACTATCCTCTCACAGGCATTTGAGCATGTGCATATCAGATATATGTATGTTATGCAGGAGTTGCTCCCAGTTATGTGGATTTTTTTTCTTCTTCTTCTTCTTTTTTTTTGCAGATGAATATTTCATCACTGCCGGATTCCACAGTAAACAGGGAAACAGCATCAGTTTATGGAGTTATGCGGTCCCAGAGCTTCTGCAATTTACACACTAAGTGCATAAACACATGTAAGCGCAAACACTCAAACGGTCTGGGATGCTCACGCACAGCTGCATGCGTACTTATAGAAAGCGTAGGGTGGGACTTTAGTGATTCATACTCAGCACTGTGATTCAAAGGTTGTTTTAATTCTTACAGTTTCCTGTTTCAAACAGAGAGTGAGCAGCACACCTTCAGCTCCAGTGGCCTCAATTATAGAAAAAGTTCCTCTCAGGGTTGTGTTCAGAAAACTGTGGGTAGAAGTCTGTGTCAAAGTTCGTAATTTATTCAGTTTGACCTTGAGGTGCAAATATTTTGAACGCTGCTGCAGCACTCATTCGCATTTACAACATAGCTGTGAAATTCATGATTACATCCACATAATGAGAGCCAATGCTGAGCCGCAGCGTGCTGTGCTATAATAGCGTTTAATTGTAAGAGTACAAAAGAATGTAAAAGTGCTCTCAGACTGTTGTGTTGTATGTGATAAACTGCAATGCGTCTTTGTTCTGTTTTGTGTTTTGATTATTTTATGAATTGGTGATGCACTCGAGTTAAAGAAAATCCTCAAGATGTAGGAGTCCAGCCTCTTAAGATGGGGGCTTGCTTTACAAGGAAACTATCTATAAAAATCTATATTTTTCTGTATATTTTTTTAGGAATGTGATTCAAGAGTTTCAGCCTGAAGTATACTTACCATACTTGGGTTGTTAGCAATAAACACACTGGGGCTTGCAAAACAGAACAACATATTGAAAATAAGTAAACTTCCCCATCCTGCCATTGTGAACCCTCTTGTTCTGATTTGATTAATAATAATTAATAAGACGCTATATATAATGAGTATCTTACTCACTCACTACTATGCCTATATTAGTTTGTAAGACTTGTTGAGCGTTACACAGTTGTGGGAAAATGATTTTCACAGGACTCTATTACAACTTCAACAGGAATTAAGAGATTAAAAATGCAGCCAGTTGCGTCTAATCAAGTGCACTTGATTAAGTGATCATCAGCAAGTAGGAGCACTTCAACAACAGGAGATATTTTTCAATTTACTGGTCTGGAGCATTCAGGTGTGGGTTAATTCAATCTTTCCAGCCAATTCACCCCAACCCCTTTCTAAATGCTCAGCTCAGATAGCATGTTAAATGTTAAAGTAAAGAATAATTAGAAAAAAAGAAAAGATTGTTTGGACGGATTTGCAAGAGAAAACCAAACCAAATATGCTTCTATGCAAACTACAAGATGTCACAGTCCAGGTGAGCTGTTGGAATTTTCCAGTGGGTTCCAGGTTCACCTTTATTCACCCATGGGCAGGGCTATCATTCCCTCAACTGTACAACCACTTGGAGCTGAACTGAAGCAATCAGACTCAGGGATTTAAAACCCACACTGACGCCTTCTCACCATCAGTTCGTCAACTAACCTATGTTGGTAACAGGCTCCTTCACTTTTGGCTAATGTCTCAGATTCACGTACTTACCTGTTTTTCTTTGTGCTGCAGTTTTCGGGACCCGTCACAGCTCATCCTCATCCTTTGGAAAGCTTCCAGCTTACACCTGCCTGCCGTCCTGCCACCTTTTGGAATCTCTGGAACCCAGGTCAGCCATCCACTCTGTTCAGCTCACCCGGAGCTACGCCTTCTCCCCTCAGAGCTACTCCTACTCCACCTGCAATGTAAGCCACTCCTTCAGTTAAGACACACCTGAGAGAATCCTTTGGAACTTCCTAACCCCTCTCTGTCCTCTCTGCTCAGTGCCACCTCAGGCACAACTCATTCATTCTTGTTAACTCCCCCTGGACCCATACCCCTCGCCCAGCTTAGTTGTATGTTGTATATATTCAAGTTCTCACGTCTCCTTGCCAAGTACTTATATTAAGAGTGTCTCTAAGTTAAAGTGTTTAAAACTTCCTCTATTGTCGTCGCAGTCAGTTCTGCACTTGGGTTGAGTTTCTGTACAAGCCTCCAGGTCCCCTTGACAAAAGACCTATGGAACAATGTCTTTTAGATAAATAATAGTGCACAATACCATGTTTGGCAATGAAAACAACCCATAGTATATTAGCACAAACACCTCATATCAGCTTTCGAGCTCGATAGTGGGCTTGGGCTTGCTTTGCCACGGGACCTGGCCACCACACACTCACTCAGCCCACCAGGAACCCCTCTGTATACCAAAGTATGGAGTCAAATGCAAGTCCATCTGTCTAACAGCTAAAGCATAGTTCATTCAACAGGACAATGACAACAAGCACAGCAGCATATCTACAGCAGAATAGCTGAAAATAAAAGAACATAATGGTGTTGCAGCCAGTCAAAGTCCAGACCTGAATCTGACTGAAAGTCTGCAGTGAGTGCATAAATTAGTGCGTGCAAATCTCAATGAGGTGAACATACGCTATAAAGAAGACTGGGTCAAAATTCCTCCACACCAATGTGAGAGACTGATAAAGTCACAGAGAAAATTATGACTTCATCATCATCTTTTTTTCTAAAGGTGGTTCTAGGAGCAGAATCATTGGATGTATTTTTTCCACAGGACTGCGTAGAGTCTTGTTAAAATCGTTTTTTCACAGGACTGTATTTATAGATATGATAAATTTCTGGTAGTGGAATTAGGCTATTTAATTACACTAAGGTCTATTAGGGTACATGACATATCTAATAATTATCCAGACATTAATGGTTGAATTTCTTAATAGCTTGGAGAAACCACTCTGTAGACTGTGGCTGATTTGCATAATGACAAAACTTTATTGTCCACAAAAGTGCTGACAAAACGTTTTGGTAACAAAAGTTAAAAACAAGAAGTCATGGTCAGCATGTACACTTCACATATGCATTATACAGTAGCCACATGTTTATGTTACAGGTTGTTGCTTCGGATTATGGCTGTAAAAGGGAATGAGTTTTCCAGTTTATTTTTTATGCTCTTTCTGAAGGCTTGGGACCTTTATGTTTTGATTCTTTAAAAAAAAACTAATTAAAAATTAAATAAAAAGCCAAGAGAGCTCAAAGTGCAGCCTGTGGACCTGTGGGTTTGTAAAGTTTTGTGTGATCCCCAAGTTCAAAGTTAAAGTCTGAAAATGTTTGCAGTGCAAGCCAAACAAACATTTCTCTTCTGTTTCAACTGCTCTGCTCTACCATTGATAGCTAACACAATTTTTACTCAAACCCAGTGCGTTGAGTATTCAGGTAGAGTATAAAAGCGCTACATAAGAACTAGTAGGGGGCGATTGTAGCTTAAGAGTTGGCAGTTCGTCTTGTAATCGGAAAGTTACCGGTTTGAGTCCCGGCTGGGACAGTCTCGGTTGTTGTGTCCTTGGGCAAGACACTTCACCCGTTGCCTACTGGTGGTGGTCAGAGGGACTGGTGGCGCGAGTGTTCGACAGCCTCCCCTCTGTCAGTCACCGACGCAAAACCAACAGGAAGTCGCCATTTTGAAGTGAAGGTGGCATTTTGGCCCTGATTTTTTGAACCTGGAACTTCTCCTTGGGATTTGATCGTATAAGCTTCATATTTTGTCAGTGTCAACTACACAGCTGGGCCATATTAAACCGCAGAGCTTTTGAGTTTTCGGGATATGGTGTGGCCGTGGTGCTGTGGCGAATTTTGATGATTCGCCATGAAAAACTTATTGCCTCTCATTCTGTCATACATTGTCCGATCTGGACCAAAGTGGACACATATCATAAGGCTCCACCCCTGAACATATTTCAACTGCCATATTTGACATCAGTGACAGCGCCACCTAGTGGGAACAGGAGCTGTCATGTTTTACACTTTGGGGTAGAGTATAGTGATGGGTGATGTCTGCAGCCTCAAATTTCTCCAGGAAAGGCCTGAGGAGTTGGTCTTGGGTTACAGTGAAAAGTGTGAGTTTTTGTGAAACCATGTTACCCCAGCAGCATGGCAAACATTGATGTCTTTCCATGAAGAAACAAATTAGTGTAACTCAAAGAAATCCAGTCTGATCACTACCAAACTTTACAGACAGGATGACAGACCCGCCCTGAACAGATCGATATGCCCATTGTCAGGAATATGCTGAGCGCCACCTAGTGGGAACAGGAAATGTCATGTCTTTCACTTTGATATATTGATTTTCACAGGGTTATCAGGTCCACCTCAAAAGTGGTGAATAATAAAATCAGTCCCCCATGATGCTTCAAATTTCAAATTCAAATTCAAATTTTATTTGTCACGTACACAGTCATACACAGTACGATATGTAGTGAAATGCTTGGACAACTGCTCGTGACCTAAAGAAAACAAAAA